CTGATATGTGGAACTGTTATTGCTTTTCCGACATGTGCAATTATCCCTTCACCTTCAAGGAATTCGAGCGCCGTGGCCACACTCTCAAGCCAACGTTTGCCATGGGATCCGATTGAGTGTTCCCCGGCCCCTGGCAACAACTTTCTGTAAATTCTCCACGTTTTCTAATTTCTCTATTAGTTCTTGTACGACTCAAATTTTCTCTCCTTTTTGATTGTACTCAATTTCCCCTTTTCTCACTTCATTCACAGAAGTTTGATGAATAAAAACTTGTTAATAACCAGTGTTCATGTCATAAAGTTTTTCAGGCACTAAAAAAAAAGAAGAGTTTGCTTGAAAAACTAAACATTTTTCTGAAAATATGAATATACCCAAAAAGTGAAAATAGGGAAAGTGAAAGTAGGAAAAGTTATAGTGGGAAACTTGCAAAAGTTGGGAACATTGAAATGATATACGATAAATCCACCGAAAAAAAATAAATATGTTTCTTTTTCATTAAACGAAATAGGAGATGGGTTATATGGAAGTTGAAGATTTGGCTTCAAAAATTTGAAACGTTTTTTTTTCAGAAATCGAGTTCCTCTTACGTGAATTTTCAGCTGTCATACGAAACAAGGGATTTACATATGCTAACTCTAGCAAAATGGCTCAGATAAAATCCACTAAATTGGAAAAGGAATATCCTATTTTAGAGTGATGTCATGGTCCATTTGTTTTTTTTTCAATTCATTTCCGAAGGGCTCTAGATAAATTTTCTCTAGTTCAGGAAGCCAGTTGCTCTTTGACTCTTCTCAATCCTTTTTCTATTTCTGGAATAGCGAAAAATTTGTGCACGAGTCTCTTTATCACCTGACTCTCAAAATCTTTCTCACATATTCTATTCTTGGATTTTTTTTTTCGTAGGCTACAATAAGTATAAATCACCATTCATGATTTCATTATTCTGTGTCTCCTAATATTACACGATTTTAATTCAAACCCCCACAGGATCTTATTCTTATACAGCAGTTTTTTTCTCGTGACAGCTGAAAGGAGGCGGAGTCAATCAGGTGATAATCTCTACACATCTGATGATTCACCTGCCACGGGTATAAAAGCAACTCTTGTTTTATTTCTTTTTAGAGGCACCTTGTGCATGGAGCCTTCTAGTTTAATTATGATTTTTCTGAATATCAAATAATCCCCCTATCAAACTGAAAGACCCCTCCTGCTTGGAGGTCCGCATTTCCTTTGTTCTATCATCTGACTTATTTGGAATTCTATATATTTTTCAATCAAAAAGTATTTATTTTTGTAAGTTTCAAAAATCTACATAAAATAGAAATCATATGATTGCTTTTCAGAAAGAATAACATATCAAGTCCAACGTGTGCGCAGAAAAGCTACAGATGATTTCAGCTGCACTCCGAAGAAATTTATTTATTTGTAATACAGTTTCGTTTATAATTTGTTACATTTTTCTATTATTCTCTCTATTTACAATTTCATATCTCAGTTAGATAGTTCATTGAATTGTTTTTGTTTTTGCTCTAAATTCATACCAATGCATTCTGCCGCAACAAATGCTATGATGTTTTTGTTTTTGTTTTGTCTTTGCATTGTGAAGTTTATTAAAATGTTCCCAATAAAACTTTCCTTCGAAGTTTTGCTCTATGACACGTCGGAAAAAATGGATGGATTTCCTAGAAAGCGATGTAATAATCCCTTGTCAGAGGAAATTTGTTGTTTGATGCATTCTTAAGTCATTTCCTTTTCAGACAAACTTTCAATTGAATCAAAACTGTACTAAACTCTGAATACAAGTACCGTATTTTCTCTGATAGAAGCTCACCTCCAATAAAAGCCACTAAGTCCAGACAATACGGCACAGTTCTGCAACGCCATTTGGGACTTCAAAAGAATTCAAGACTGTAGATAAGATCAGAACTGCACTGAAGGAACACTTGAATTCTCGACCAACTAACTTTTATCCTACAAAATACCAAAGGCAGTATCTATGAAATACCAAACGCTAGAAACATGTTGTGAGCAAGTATGGTTTATACTGTTAATCTTGGATTAAGCTTTTTTTGCCAATAAAACAAAGGGCAGCTACTTTCTTTCCAACTTATTTTTTTTGTAGTTTACTTACTGGGGAATGGTCAGAACTTATCTCGCGATCGGGACATACAAGTGGGTTTTCTGAAAAGAAGGGTACTCATTTATTCCAGAACAGACTGAGCAGCGCATTCAGATTGATTGAGAAAGTTTAACAGCGCTCGGATGAAGATTGTAAACTGCAGAAAGGAGTTGAAATCAAATTGGACAAGAACACGCATGTGTCTCTCCGGAAAAGGATCACTCTCACAGGATCTTTGAAAGAATAGAAGCACCTCAACCAATATACTTGGAACTGACAGCAACCCATCTCTTGTCCAAAACGGTTATGGACCTTGACATTGAATGCTTGTCAGATCTTCAAATGTACCGTGGCACTGTTTCGTTATTATTAACGACATCGGTAGGAAATTATTAACGACAAAACAAGAATATTAACGACATCGGTAGGAAAAAATATTAACGACATCGGTAGGAAATGGCATTTAAGGAGATCTGTGGTATGGAATATCCAATTGTTATCCTCATCCTTTGTCCGAAGAAGCTTTGGGACAATCATTGTGAACGTCTCATCAATCTGTCATTACCAATCTGACTAACAGTTAAGAAGTTTGAAATCGACGTAATTTTCAATTCCGATACAGTATAGAGATTGTTCAACTACGTGAAGCACCAATTTCTCTCTCAGTTCAGATTATTCATTTCACTCGTGGATTGTCATCGAGGTTTCTTGTTCCACACAGTTGATGTATCTTCTGTTCAAAAAACTTGTTTTCAATTAAGGATGTGTTCGCCCCCTTTCGATTTCTCGGTAAATGCCTTCACCATTGGGATTTTACGTAGACGTAGACGCCGTTGTTATTGATGAGTCGCTCGCTTGTTTTTAAGAAACCGAAGACGTTTTTCGAGTGAGCTACTAGTGTCACGGAACAGATTGATTTCCTAGGTTCTGATTTTCAGACAAGAATTCGGCAGGACGCAGGGTTGATTATGAGGCAGAAACTAAAAATTGTTCGAAAATCGGAAAATTTGAAAGACGATGATGTGGAAATGCTGAATCAGATCAGATTGTGTCTAGAAATTGAATTACGCTTTTATTCCAGAAACCGTATTGAATAATCACATTTTTTTTGTGAATTTTGAAGTGATGCATCTGGCTCTGAACGTATAGTGTACAAATTGTCTTTGTGACATATTTAGAATACTTTTTTGTGGAATACTTTGATCCCGAATAAAAAAAAACAACAAGTAAAAACTAAAAATTGGCTTTGGCTCAACCAATTTTTGATAAGACACTTTTTTCACAATTCCTGATAAAATAACCACCTAATTTCAGATCTATTCAATTTTGGGAAATCAATCAATCCAGAAACCATGCAGTTCTGAATTTTTTGATCCTAGAGCTCTTCAAATTCTGTTTCCAAAGTTTGGGCTTGAATTCATACCGTAAAGGAAGTGATAATAGGCCTTTCTAACTCTTAACTTTGAGCCGATTTATCTCTAGTTCCGTCAAAGATATATGAAGAATGCCAACTGATAAAATATTTGTCATGATATCACAAACATTGTATTAGTTGACACAAGTTTTGATATATTTGATAGAAACAGAGAAAAATCAGCTTTAACTTCACAGGTGCTCTCCTTTACCACTTTTTCGGTATTTTTTACAGATTGCTGCACAGATCCCTTATTTTAATTTAATTTTGTTTTCAAATATGGCTTATCTTATGCTCTGACAAGTGAGTATCACATAATGATTCAGTATCACATGACACTTGTTTTTACAGTCTAGAACAATATCTTATTGTTCCGCCCCTTTGAAAATCTATAGGGACTGTTGATCGCGACTATAAAAAGCGAAAAAAAAATCAGAGAACCATACTCGGCTAATTTTTTATTGGTTTTTTTTCCTTTGTCAACATTTCGGTTTGACGGTTTTTAGAATTTCATTTTATTTTCTCTTAATTTAGTGGAATATGCCACCAACTGGTGTTTACACTGGCCAAATGTATGCGAATGCCGACATTCCAGAACCATTCAGTCTCTGTGAGTCCTAATAGATTTTACATTCATCTTTGGTCCTTTGAATGATGTCAAAAAAGTTTTCAACTGATAATCTGTTTTTGATATTATGATGAACAATTTATTTAGTAGACAACTTTTTGGTATCTCTCATAGGAACAGCGGTAAATTGTCTCAAAGTTAAATGTTAGCGACCCTCCTTTTACTGATTTTACGTTAATTAGGATTTGGAAACAATTCGGGTTTAAATATTATGTCTTCAGTTATTCCCGATTTCAGGCCCTCACAGTCGCAAATGCGTGAAAGGTGTAGCTATAGCTGCTGGCGCCACTATCGTTTTTTTCCTCTGCGTCGGAGTTGGAATCATCATTCACTATAATTTTTACTGAATTTAATGAGGCTTTTCCGTCATCTCTGCTTTAAGCATATAATTTTTGCAACAGATGTGTTATGCATGAAAGCCCAGCAATATCCCCTCTTTTTTCCTGTACCATCTTTCCCAGTTCCTGTTATACATATAGTTAGATGGTAGACAGATCATGCTGAATTATTTTACACAGCTTCATGTCTCCGTATGTACTTAATACTTTTTTCTCAAATACTTCGTTTGCTTTCTTGAATAAAATTTTTTTTAACACAATATATAAATATATTTTCTTTTTTTTTTGTTTATTTTGCAGAACTTCCGGAAGTAAACGGCGTTTTTAGAAATTCAGGAAAAACCCAAAAACTCCGTTTTTTGTGAAACTGTGTATTATATATTTTTAACGTTTATTGTTGTTTCTGTAATCTTTACACTCAACTGAGGATGAATATTTTTAAAAAATGAACGGAAACATCTGAACGACCCGAAAAATCATATTCTTAGGTGTGTTAGCCTTTCACATATCCTCAAGCTCTGGTCTCAACCACACCGGTTCAGGTATTGGTAACACTCTTCCAATATCCTCCATGTACCACGGCTCCGCTTTAATATCTTGGATTGTCAGACGATCTTGAGGTGTGTGACTCAGAACGTCGCGCAGGAATACTGGAAATAAAATTTTAAAATAGATAATATGTTGTTTGAACTGACAAATCACTTTGCCATCTAATTGGCTCCATGCAGATGATCCAATGTTGAAGTTCATGAAATTCATATATCTCGTGCATCTGAAAAATTATGAAAAAATATATTGAAAGACATGAAAATTGATTTCATCAACATTCAATGGTTTGAATTTAATAGAAAGGTTGCAGGTCTTAAGAACAGATGATTTTTTCTGAAAGGAAAAGGCTTTAAAACAAGAAACCCTCTAAATTATTCAAATTTTTGGTTATACATATCCTAAGCAAGGTCGTTACTCAGACATTATAGTATAATTTTGTCTAACCAGGGAAGGTTGTAATCGGTGGGTGGAACTTCGGTATCATTCAAAAGCTGAGAATGAGAGATTTTCAAATCTATGTTCAGACAGATTTTGCTAAAAAGCTAACAGCTTCGAGAAAATCAAGTTTCAAATTTGGCTCAAAGTTGAGTCTACCGAGCGCCGCGTCTCCTCCCCTTTCTTATATATGTAGATTGGGGAGCGTGGAGAAAGCAGCGAGAAGTGGTGTAGTGGCGAAAAGGGAGGACGGTATCTGACTAGGTGTCCTCTCTCCCAAATTTTCATAGTTGCAAAAGGCCGGGCCAGGCCGGGCCGGTTGACGAATTTTCTCGGCCCGGCCCAGCCCGGTCCGCCTAACACAGAAAATTTCCAATGGAAAATTTGGGAATTTTTTGACTTAAAAAAGGAAAAATGATACATTTAACAGAGCAGAATGTAGGCAATAAATAGGAACTTTTTCTTAAAATTTTTGAAAAAAATTCAGCGTCTGTACATACACCGGGCCGGCACTTTATCGGCACGGCCCAGCCCTGCCCGAATTTTGCAACTATGCTAATTTTTTTCATTCGATTATTAATCGAAAAAAGGAAATTCGAGAGCACAACACAATTGAAAGCTTAAACTACCGTATTCCCTCTATTAGAAACACTCATATCATCTAGTTTGAGCTCAATTATCTCGATTTCTGTGTGAGATATGGAAAACTTGTCAATTAAAGAATTGTCAAGCATAATATCACCAACGTTTTATCAGTTAACAAGGTAGTTGAAATCTTTCACAAAAATCAAATCAATCATCTCAAAAATGACGGTTTGGGTTGGCTTCTTTTGGTGAAGAGTCACTCATGGCAGAGAAAAAAAAATTTGTGAAAGGTTTATAGGATCAAAATTATCTTGAAAAAACCCAGACGACTCACTGAAAGTTTGCACAATCCCATGGTACTGTTCCGGTTAACATGACAAACAAAACTATTCCTGTTGACCAAACGTCCGTTGGTGGTCCTGCGACTCTCAGATTGTTCCTACTCCACACTTCTGGTGCAGAAGCAAACTGTGATCCAACCCTGTTCCTGAGAAGGATTTGGTTTCCCTGGGCATCCATATAATAATCGGACAATCCGAAGTCACCGATTTTTAGGCAATCTGAAAAAGAATGAAACAATTCTGAATTTTAATTTCAATAGAATTCTGAACTAACCTCGACCATCCAGAAAAAGATTGGCTGGTTTGATATCTCGATGGCAAATTCTTTTGGAATGTATAAACTCCAATCCTCGGATTAATTGTCGGTAGAAGTACTGCGCTTTTGTGAGTGACAACGATACTTGTGCCTCAATTCTCTGCTGGAGATCTTCTTGGATTAAATATTCCATCAAAAACATTGCAACGTTTCCGACTTCATGCATTTCAAACATTTCAACGATATGCTTGCACTCCTTCCTCTCGCTCAAAAACTTTTGCACTTCATACTCCTTCATATAATTGTTCACTTTGTTCACAGTTTTCATCACTACGATGGGTTCCTTCTCATTGGCTGTGTCTTTTTTGACAAGAGAAGGGACTCCGAATCCGCCTCGATGCAAATTCATGATCCATATGTACCCGACTATTTGAGCTGTTTCGTAGCTTGTCATCTGAAAGTCTAATTTTTTTCACAAAAAAAGAGAAGATTATTACAAAGCAGATAAAAATGTGATAACGCAAATTTTATTTCTTTTATGAAGTAACAAAATTCATTTAATAAAAAATTGTTCGGTCTAGTCAAGCTACCCTTTTTTTGAAAAAGGTTATGATCCTTTATATTTATATTTTTGTTATAAAATTTCACGTTGGCTTTCAGTTTTTCTAGTACCCATGATTTTTGAAAAAAGTTCCAAAGTTAGAAACGCTATAATGGAAGGTCACCATGTGTTTGCATTTTGAACTCAATTATCTTTTTCCCTTAAAAAGCATCGAAAATTAGTGAACTAATAAAATATTGGTGATATTATGACTAATATTTCATCGGTTGATACCTTTTTTATATTTTTCACAGGAAATGAGATATAGATACTCAAAGTTGACGGTTTGGGAGGCTTTCTGTTGAAGTCTTTATGGTAGATTAAATGGGGGGCCGCGGCCAAAAAGTTTATTGAAAAAAAAATGTAGATTCATATAGTAACAAAGAAAAAATGAGGAAAAGAAGCACTAGAGTAATCGCTCGAAAAGCATCAAAAAAATCTCAGTTCTCTTTTGATTTTGAATTCTTCAATGGACGGTTTTTGATTTTTCCCTGATTTCCGCCACAACTGAAACTTCGTTTTCATTTTCGACAGTTTTCTAGAAAAAAAGGAAATTGAGAACCTGCTAATAATTTAAACAACTAGTCGAAAATTGAGATTTTTTCTTTTTTTTAAAGCGATAATTGAAGTTTTTCCTATTTTTAGCTGTTTTTCTTTGTTGCGGTTTTTCTACAGATTTCAATGCAATGAAAATTGTTGCGTCCTCTTCTAATCTGACATTCAAAAACTAAATGTTTTCCAAAAATAAGTAAACGAGCGAGAAACCCGCGCCGTGAGCGCCCCAGCTAGATTTTTGAAACTCTGTAGAAATGGTAAAAGAGGCCGAATATTTTAGAGCAGAACCCCAACAAAAACAATGTACTTTTGTTGAAAACGTAAAATTTGCAAATTCCGAGCTTCCTGCTCAAACAAAAAAGACTACATTTATGTGGCTCGTTTCCTGAGAATTCGGAAGAAGCAGAGAAACTGAGAGTGCTCCGCGAGTCGTAGGATAAATGAGTGCTTTATGTCAAAGATGACTAATTAAATTTTTGAGTTTTTACGTTTTTTGATGTCCTAGTTGGCAAAGAAAAGGATTGATGATGAAATGGTTTGTTTCGAAAAATGCATTTTATATTGGTTTGACAAGCAGAGAAAATGGAAAACAACCGGTTGAATGACCTTTGTTGAGCAGACTACTAATGTCAGGCATCTTGAAACCCAAAATAAATGTTTATAATCTTGTCGCCAGGTATTTTCAAAACCCGCCAATTTGGATGATCTTGTTGTCTTCCTATGTTGAAGTTTAGTGTGCCAAGATTTTCCAATTTAATAATGGGGAACAGAATTTTTAGAAAAATTCAAATTGTAAATAACGGAACGGAAAACTGAGTTTCAGAGAACTTTAGAAATTTCAGTAAAAACAGCTTGAATTTTCAAAATCCGAGTAGTCGACAACACTAGGCAACATTGTGATTTCAATAAGTCAGAAATTTCTGGAAGAATTACGAAAAGGGTGACATATTAGAATTCTGACAGAATTTGACAGACCTTCAATTTGAAATTCGTATTATTTTCCAAGCGATGACTCCTCAAGTTTTCTGACTTCTTGCCTACAAAATGAGAAGAGGATTTCAATAACCAGATGTTCTCTACGGATTTACATGGAAACCTCAACATCTTGTAAACCCAGATTGTTTGAAAATCCTCAGAAGAGGTTAACAATCGCCTATCACACCAATGAAAGTTTTATAATCTGTTCACCAGTTTGGGGCCAGTTATATCAGATTAAATACCAAAAATTGCCTTTTCAGTGCAAAATAACAATTTTCAAAGATGGTTTTCTCAACTTCTAGGATGTTTCAGAAAACGAATTTTGTTGTGTTATGCTTAAAATTGGATGAAATTTCATGTTATTTTGAGAAAATTTTTTAAATCAGAAATTTCGTTTGATTCTGAATTTAACGCAACAAATTTCATGTTTTGAAAAGTTCTGGAAGTTGTGAAAATTTGAAAAGCTCTGTTTTGCACTAACAACGTGATTTTTGGTATTGAAACTGATATGACTCGGCTGAAACTGGCGAGCGGATTCTATAATTTTCAGAAGTGTCCGTTCGCAATCTATCCTGAATTTTTCAGCAAAATAAGGTTTGCAATGGGTTGAGGTTCCTTTCTGAAAATACTCAAAAACGTGACTGAAATAATTGATGTAATCTTTGAAGACAAAATGCTAGAGCTCTTGATAAGCTCTCTCGTGTACTACAAAACATTTCTTGAATTTCGAATAACAATTAGTGCGAGCTAGTCGAAAATATAAAAATCCGCACTTGCTCTTGGGAATAATCCCACAATTTTATTCTTCCCCGAAAAAAGTCGAGGCACACCTTTACCCCTGGCAACCAATTTGAGGGGAAAGGAAGATATTTCAACTACCCATATACAAAGAAATGCAGAAAAGAGAGAGGTAGAGAGAGGGATGAGAATGAAGTCACCAGAAACAGAAACCATGGAAATAGTAAAAAGGGGAAAATAAAATGAGAATGGATAAATGTGCAGAAGGAATGGGAGGGGGGAAGAAGAAAAGGAAATGAAACGACCCCTCCGAAAACATGCGGCACGTCAAGAGCAATCTGCCTCATTTCTTTCGAAAAAAAAGAGAAAAATTTATGGCACTGGTAAGTTATTATTTCCGACCAGTTATATTGTATAAATTACGAGAACCGTTTTTTATGAGCGGGAGATATGCATACCGAGGAAATTGAGTAGAAGCTCGTAAATTGAGAAAACAGAAAAATGGAGAGAATCATAAAAAGGTATGCTTTTTTATTTTATAAAGATGCCAATGATGTCAATGAGCAGGACTCGAAGAGACACTGATAAATCAGAAAAGATTAAGAGAAAAACAGTGATTTGTAATTCTCTCTTGGGAATACATTTTCAAGTTCATTATTTTAAAGATCTTGAGTAGAGAAAAGCTATGATCAGCAAAAAAGGAACAATCCAATATGCAAAGTTTCTAAACTCAGCAAAAAATAAGACCGAATGTCCCCCAACAACGAATACCGAAACCTAAAAACATTGTTTTTTTCCTTGATTTATTATTTCGAAATTTGTGCATTTTCAGCAAAGTTTTTTTACTATCAAAAACTGGGGAAAAATAGCAGGAAACTGGACAAAAATCTGAAAGAGTAACGAATTTTAAAAATACAGAAAATAAACATGGTTTTAGGTTACGATAGTTGATTTTCCCTCATCTCGGTTTTTTCTGTACTAAGGACAAAGGGTTTGAAAAAAAAGTTTAGTAGTATAAAATGAAAGTTCTAAATTTCGTTTTCTCAGAACAAGGATTCGCACGCTTTTTTACTTATTTTTTAGTTCAGATTGGCATATAAGTACGTCAATTTTTTTTTAAATTTTGGCAGAACATTCCGGCTGCAAACCCTGGAAAAATTTATGAAGCTTGTTTCTGTATTTCTCGTTTGAAACAAAAAATCATCTAATTTTTCGATTTGTCTAGAAATGTCGTGCATATGCCCCCTTGAGTTTTCAGATTCTTGAATTTATAATTTATTGGAGAGATTCCAGAAAAAAAACATGCTACAGAAATTTCGGAAAATATAATTCCAAACTTGATATTTACTTCAAAATTTACTGAAAAAAATGAAGCTGAAAAAAATCATTTTTCTCTAATAAAAACTCACCCTAGACTATTTCGCACTTTGAGCTTAATTGTTCCGCTTCCTTTCGAAGATATGTGAAAGTTTTTAACTCATAAATTAGTCATCATACGATTACCAATATTATATCTGCTGACAGATTTTAGGTTCAATTTTATTAAACTGTATTTAAAATTACTGAACCTCTCAGATTTTCGATACAAGTGATGAATACTTTCTCAGGCATCTGAAATCGACCGTTTCAAACAAAAATTGTCGTTTTAAAAAAGGATTCTTGCTAAAATAACAGCTCTATCATTATGCCGAATTCTCATGATTTTCATAATTGCTTTTTTTTTCATTTTCCTTTTCATAAAATGTAAACCGTGCGTTCTATGGTTTCCTGTTTCATCATTGCTTTTCCTCGGGTTTTAAGTAGTTTCAGTGTTTGTTTGTCTGTTTTAATTTCTCGCATATACTTTACAATGTCCGAAAAGACACCACCATCCTTGTCCACCTTATCTGATAGCTCATCGCTTTGAACTGATGGCTTTTGGGGAAAATGGCTCATCAGGATTGTCGTAACTATCAATGGTTACATTATTCTGGGGATTTTCATATTCCATCTTGACGTCTTCGCAGCGAGCATCGATTTTTTCTGATGGCTCTATCGGGGAAAATAGCTCATCCGGATCATTGAGAACATTCCCATTATTCTGCAGATGCTAATATTCCATCTTGACATCTTCGCACGGAACATCACTTGTTGCTGGACCTTTAGGAACACGTGGCTCAAACGATTTACAGAAAGAATCATAATTTACAGTCTTCTGAAGAGGAAATGCATTCGTGAGACATTCGGGTCCTTCAAACTTTAACCTCCAATTTCCTCTTTCCCGATCTTTCCAAATGCATTCATCTCATTTTCCTCCTGCTCTTCTTTTGATGTATCTTCGGGCTCATCGTTTTGTTCTGATGGCCCCTTTGGGGCAAATGGCTTATCTAAATTATTGGAGCAATCAGTATTTACAGTCTGAAGAGGAAAATCATTCGTGGGACATTCGGGTGACTTCAAATTTTTGAGAGACTGTACATCATTCTGAAGTTCCACTTGTTTTGATCCTTCAAATTCTTTCGAACCTTCCATACATTTCTCACTGTCAGAGACACACAGTTGATCCTTCTTCGGAACTTCCATCTTAACCGTTTCATTCGCAG